ATATATCTTTTCGGATGTATATGTCATGCGCAGTTTTTTGCGCGACACAGTTTGCTTACGATTGCGACGTAGTGCCGACACCCGTTCGCCGACTCATATGTCTTTCACACAGCACTTACGCCTTCGATATGTGTAACACTAATTTTGCTTGTCTTTCATGTATGTGAATAATGTAGCGGGCCACAACTATGATTAAATCGTGTGTACGACATACGAAAGACATGTCGTAGAGCCATTTTATGTGCGAAATTTGTGCGAGACATATAAAAGACAAGTCGCCAGAATTTTCAGTGAAGTATCCGCTATTTGAAAAAAGTAGCGCACTGTCGCGCCACTAAATATCAATAGCTTCACTAGTAGCGGAATAGTGAAACAGTGCGCTGTTGCCCACTTCTGCCTATTACGCTCTGATTTGGTAGGCTATCAAAGGAATGATCGTGTAAATTTATGGCGAGTCCAAAGTATGAACACGAAAGTTTAAGCGAAGGAAAAATTCAAAAATGATTACAGTTGAGCAAATTTTTAGTAGTTAAATTGTTCAATTAGAACGTGAAAAACACGTAAACAGAAGAACAAAACAATCAACACTGATGTTGCACATCAGTAGTAATAATAAACAAATGTAATAACAATAACAATAATAATAATTACTATTATTGTTGTTGTTATTGTCATCGTAAAAATGAACATTAATTTAAAAGTGAAATTCAAAATTACGTTCGGATGACCTATTCCTCGAATGAACGATGTAATACAATTGAAGATGAACGAGAATGGTAAAGAGATAAATTTTTCTTCTTCAGTCAACAAAAAATTTCCATTATGGAGAAATTTGCGAAATTTTGTGTTTGTAGCTTCAGTGCTATTCCTGAAACGCCGATTTGCTGATAGATGAAAAATGAATCGTGAAAATAAATTGGAGAATGTTTTTGAAATGATACATCCGATCGAAGGACTATCCACCTAATAAACGATAACTAAATGAGACATGAATAATACAATAGTGCTTTCTCACTGAAAACAAACGAAAATTTAACGCAGTAAAACACAAAATGTTGCGTTTCATAATGTTTCAAACATTGCGATGTAATTCTTTCTTGGGTATACTTTCATTTTCATGAAATATTCTTTCGTTACTACAAGTCATTATACAGTCCTTTTTACTCTCATCTTCGGTATGTCCAATCGCTGTGAAATTTCATCCTGAATATACATACTTTAGTTCATTGCTCATTGTTTGCACGAAATGTTAGGTAAAAGTTCCTTCAAAAAGATGAAATTTTAGAACTTTTAATAATGACTTTTTGAGAATGAAGAAGAAGAAAAGGACATACCGCAAAAATGATCTGATTCGGATGATACGGGATACCGCCACATTTCTCAACGAATTTCGTATGTCTCATCTCTGGATCACCGGCTACCAGAACAGGATCGTCACCTATCTGCAAACAACAACAAAATCAATCCATTATTCTGAATTCATCTTTTATCAGCAAAACTTCTTACCGGTTTCAAATTCCGCATAGTATCCATAAACTCTTGCATACGTTCATGGAAGTTTGGTGCAAACGCTTCCGGATCAATCGCTATGAAGCATTGTCCCTGAAAATCATAAGTCACTGATAATGAATAAGTCGAAAATAAATAATTGTGGCTAAACTCACCAGATCAGCATCGGTTGCTGTCGACATCCATTTACGAATATGAGGTCCCCAATGAGAGCCACCCAGTATGCCACAGAATATTTCAACGAGTGCGCCCAAGCCGTAACCTTTATAACCGCCTGAAACGATTCGAATTTGAGTATAAAAACAAAAACGAGTTTGACACTACGAACAAAGCATTGGAAACGGTTGCAGGAGGATTCTTTAGGTTATACGTCCTTCAAACATTTTCCGTTTGCTCGGGTCTAATGCTGAGCATATGTCTAAACACGACTGTAAGACTAAAGATAAGGACAAATCTTGGAGCCATAGGAACTGTCTCGGCATTTCAGAAACAGCGCTGAAACTATAAATTATAAATGAACGAACTGTTAATCTCGTGACCGCCCAGTGGTAACAGACCGCCACCAGTAATGATTTCAGCCGGTTCTATGCTTGGAATACCACCGCGAGCAACACCCCATGATTCAGGTACTTTCTCACCTCGACGTGAAGCTATTTCAACCTTAATTGAATTGGATTTGTTGCATTTCACAAACATATAGTAAGAAAATAATTACACAAAAAATACGTTCATTCATATGTATTACAAATGAAGAAAAAAACAAGTAGATGACGAATATCCTATAAATCGTTGAATGATCAAGACTATCAAATCGTTTAATGAACAATCAAGATTAGAATTCTAGAAGATCTGGAATTTTTTAGGCTCATATTTTTAACTTTTTGAAAGAAAATAAGGATGATAAGGAAGCGAGAATGTATTGCTATTTGTTGATATCAGAGAGGTATAAACTAAGTTATTGTACTTGAAGTAAACGAATTATTTAATGAAAACAATGAACAACAACAACAGAAGTTTCGACATTACTCAAGCTAGCAATAGGGATGAATAATGACCGAAACAAAAATACACCTTTCCAACAGCGACCGCAGTCGTGGCCATATCCAACACGAACGAATCGCCTTTAGTGCCATTTGCGGCGAGGGTCAGTGGATTCGTGCCGATAGCCGGCGCACTCGCACGTGTTGGATACATTATTGGTGAAGTATTTGTGAATGCCAAACCCTGCAAACATTTCAGCTCATATTTCTCACTATCAGCATCTATTTACGTATTGTTATGTAAATTTGCAACAAAACAATAATTGCATTCAAATGAAGCTGAAGTGGCAATGGCAAATAAAGTTCATGCTATACCATTAAACCTTCTCTCATCGCTCGCATGCTATACCAACCTGCAATTCCAAAATGATTCGAGCCTGAAACGAGCACCACCATTAATCACTGAACATACTATAGAACAAATGCACAACAAGAAGAACTAGTGATGAAACGAACCCCTTGTAACAACCCATCCAACACCAGCTTCTTTCGCTTTCTTAATGGCCAAATCCATGCAAAAATTCCCGATCACTGGGCCAAGTAGGTTGTTTCCATCGACCCAAGCACTAGCGGCACGCTCTTTCAAGATAGTCGGTTCACCGGATCCCTTGCAAACCTTCTCTTTAACGTCACGAATGTACATGTCTGCAATTTTTCAAAAACTCTTCGTCAAATTTTCAACGTAAGAAAAGCAACAAAACAATATGAAACAATCAGCGAATGAGACATTCAAGCGATGAAAGTTCCATGGATAAAATACCAAGTCGGTTAAGTCCATGACTGAAATGTCCCCGAACATCGGCTGCCACAAGTACATCAGCCAGTTGTTCTGCGTGACTCTCAACAGTGCCCACCTTCATCATACAATCGATCATGAATCTTTTCGCCTAGAATCACAGCCATAAAATCATTTCAAAATAATGGAAAGCATTCAAAATGATTAATGCAAAACCAGATGAGTGAAATGATGATATATTCAAAGAAATTGTCATCAACTTTTATGACTTTTGTGGTCTTATTTTCGTTTCTTGTTCATCTTAACCGAACAAGTCTTTATTTGTTTACCTCTTTAGGTTCCACAATTTTTTCGCCTGGATTTGCATTTTTCGTATGAAAATAACGCAGTGATTGTTGTTGATAATGGTGGTGTCCGGCAAGCGGCGTAGAACTGGACGCGAAAATTAGCGCAGATAAATTCGGATTACAAGGTTTGTACAGGGCGTTTAGGGTGGAAGCGGGATGCGAGCTTCTCGCTAATAATCGTCCAATTACCGTCTTAACCAGCATTCTTCTCACGTGTTTCGCCGCCTAGATTAACTCAGTTTTTACTACTAGCAATATTAATATTATCATTATTACAGCGATTCCTTTTTCATACCATAAGATGACAAATAAGGGTACAATTGAAGCTGAATTGCAATATCATTGATTTGAAGAGTTAGTGAACTGAATGATGGTATAAGAACACTACACAGTTTGCCTTTTCTTTCTATCACTTAAAAGCATGGGGTTAATTTGGAGTCAGCTCAAAAAAATACCATCTCTGGTATGATTCTGAGCTGGCTCCAAAATTTTTTGAGTTGAAATTTCGAAAATAGTTCTCTGCAGCTACCTGGAAACCAAGCTTCCTATTCAATGTAGTTGTGGAATATCAGACGTTGTCGCAGTCATATATTCACACCGTCATCTTTTAACTAAATGATATTATACCACTACAGATTATCTCACCTGCCAACTACAATTTGTAGAATTGATGCCTAATTTTTAACTTACGTCACTGAAATGAACACCATCAACCACTTATAAAGGAATACACTATAAAGGAATGGGAGCGAACATATGCATGTAAACATCTTACAGTGAAAGGACTTATATGTAAAGGATCTGATATCATACACCAACACTTATTGCAGCTATAACTGATCAGTGTATCAGCATATGATCAAATATCCTGATCTACTATTACTTTATTCAATTTTTTGGATTTGAAGGTGCAAGACCGGTATTAATATGAACATCAATATCTTCTATCAAATCATCGGTCTTTGCACAATTCAACAAAATAACTAATATTGTTGCATTTCAGGTGCTGCACATTTGCTTCTGAAACGATGATTGATAGAGATAACTGATCTGTTATTACAATCACATCATCTTCTATGTAGTCTAACAGATAGCTACCTGAAACCTCCAGCAGTCTGCCAGTAAGAGACAAACGCTAACTTCTGGCTAAATATGGACAAAAAGACAGCTAACTGACAGTATACGACCGTATAATGACAAACGGTGTAAATGGACCGAAGAAGTTAAGCAAGTAACCGCGTGAAGTAGAGTTAAAACTTAGATATGATTATTAAATATCGTTTTTTTAATGCATTCACATTAAAATACTCAAAATGTGAATAAAAATCAACATGCTTGTAAAGATTTATTCAATGAAACAAAAAACTGTCAAATGTATTGTTATTAAAATCATTAATATTATTATTATTATTATTATTATTATTATTATTATCAATAGAGTTTACTGAGTTGAAATTCGTCATAGAAAAAGTTGAATGAGCGAATTCTGAATAAAGAAGTTAGGAGAATAGGTAATAGTCTTGACTATTACGGGGTTGGTTGAATAGAGACAAACGCTAACTCTGGGCCCTATGAGCACCCCAAACAGCAGTTGAAACATTTGAGCTTTGAACGAGTTCTTGGAACTAGATAATAAGTTATTAGTGAATCGGTGGCAGTGGCCATGAGTACCTGCACAACCGAAGCTAAAGATGAGGCCGTCAAAAAGTTGAGCTAAAACTCAAAATAATATATGAAGTTTGAGCAAAAAGTCTGAATATATATGGTTGAATGTGTTCAAAAAATTGTTTGGTGCACTTCAGTCAGTTTGACATTATGGCACTTAAGCAAATTGATGAACTGATATAAGATTTACACAACAATTACACAATAAAGTCTGTGCTTCCAGCCATTCATCGTTATACATCTTGAAGATAAGCTTATTCGTTAACTGATAAAAACAAGAGCAATGCAATTGGTAGCAATTATTAGCGTGATGGATATTTTTGAAGGGATTGAAGAAGAATCGAAGGAAGATTTGGAAACAAACAACAACACTGAACAACTGTTTTATCGAAACACTCTTAGTTTTTATGAAAGAAACTAAAGTGATATGATCGTTAGAGAGCATAAGTATTTGTTTGCTTGCTATTGATTAGAACGTATTGATGGATCATTAGTAAAGGTGAACCGTTTTCCGGTATTGAAATTGGGACTGACAGTGTTAATACTGATGATACTGACGTATTTTTTTCGTTAATAACTACTGCACTTAGAGAGTATTCCAATAGAAGGTCACTAATGTGAACTTGATTGCTCGCTGATGATAGTTGGTAATGGATAGCAGTTATTTTCTTGAATGAATGATTTAAAACAGCAGAAATAGATCTCATGAATAACACTAAAAAATTGACTAAATAATATGAAACGGTATTAAAATTTTTCTCAATATCAAGGTGCACATTACTGAAGACTAAAACATGCGTTCGTCTGAGAGGCGAATGATCGAAGCGACAGCCGAACAATCAATAAATGAACGAAGATAGACTGACTGATTGATAAACGACTGAAAATTTATCATCAGTTTTAAAAGAACTTCATTCATTTCGAAAGAAGAAATGAAACAAAACAAAAAATTCCTTTTCTTATCGCAACGAATGCAGTTAATACGATCTGTATGAATGCGTTGAACAATACATCGATAAAGTTAGAAAGTATTTTTTATCAAGTTGAATTGAAAGTCGAATTGATGATAAAGAATCAAAAAGCATGAAAGATGCATCTTTCTGTGTTAAGCTGACAGTAACAGTATCAAACAATTTGCAAAACAATTTCATATCATATGCATTCTGCACATCAATATGAAACAACTAATTGCAAATGTTGTATTCGATATATCCATGTCAGGCATTCGTGGTCATATGCGTGTCTGATTTCAAATGGCTTTTTGCTTCTTTCAAACGACACAATCAATTGCAAATCAGTTAAAAACCTGTTTGTTTGTTCGTTTATTGCTTGTGCTTTCACTTCTGCTACATGCAGAACGGATTTACCGATCGAGACACATCGACCAAAAAAAATTATTTTAGATCTAAAAAAAGCATTCTTTGAACTGTGCCAATGTAATCCTTCGTTCATCATTCGTTACTAATTGTACGAGTTCATTACTGAATGCAAGAGAATTTTTTTATCTCCGTGCAAAACCGTGAAAAAATTTTCATCTGTTCACTTGTCATTCCGACTACTTAGTTCATAAAATGAACACAATCAAGCAAATATGATGTGACGTCAGCTAAGAATGATTACTTTATACGTGATATGCAACACATTTATGAGTAAATATGTAAGTATGTGTGTTCTTACTGTCAGAGATGCATGATTATCGAAAAAGGAGTGCATGAGCTTTTCAAACTGAACAAGTACCACACTATAGCACCAGCATAGTGACACTAATAGAAATGGGAATGATAGAAGAATGAAGTAAATAAAAGTTTAGAGCGAATGGTCGATGAACATCTGATAAAATAATAAGAAAGCATTTATACAGAAAGTTAATCCGTTGATTTATTGTAGTTAATTATTGATGCGTAATTATTTGATAAATTCTATCTGTTCTCTTTCACGACCATATTTCGTCCAACATCTGTTCTTCGGTCAAATTTTTTGAACTTCTCTACAACTTTAATGTATTTATTTATTTATGTTTTCACTCTTTATGAGGACAGCTTAAGGTTGCTGATATACGTCAATCCATCCATACTGAAGCAACAGTGTCCTTCTGTTCCACTTAGTAGCTCGCAAACGATGAATTGTTTTGAAGTCACATCAAAAGAAGGAAACAATCATGAGAGTACATATTCGTGAAGCATCAGTATTTTCAGTGCAACATGCTCAAATGAATAACGCTTACTCATGAATAGCAATAGTAATATCATACCACTCAAAAATATCAAATATTTTATTTTCATTGATACATTACGTAAACATTGCTGAATTCATCACTACTCCTACTCAATGCTCACACATAAAGCTTCATCGTCATTTTCATATCATACCATAAAGCATCCGTAAAGCCGTTAGTTAGCTCTCTATCCATCTCTGTTTATCTTTATCCATCCATTTGTATCTGTCTATCTAACATGCTCGCTAACAACCAAATAAGAAAGCAGAAATTTAACATCAGTATTTCATTTCACTCATTCCATGCATTCATCCATGAACCTACTCTCGTGGCACTACAGCGAATCGATCGCGTGACTGCCATCCAACCAACCTTCTTTTAAGGATTCTTGTTGACATCATCATTGTCGTCATCCATACATTCGTCGAAGTGGAGAGGCGACTAAGCCCAGCAGACGAGAATCACCATTAATAGTGTTTTCAGCAGCCGAGAGCGTTCAGCTGCTCAATCCAGTCATCAGACTGATAGTCAATCCTTCATTCGATTATTATCGAAATCATTATCACGAAAATGCAACAGCATCATCAAACAGTAACATGTTGCTATTCCACTGAGATGCGACGGCAAGCTTTCATACTGCTTATCATCAGCGTACAGTTGGCACTGTTCGCAACAGCTTCACTAAGTGTGGATGCGAAGAACGTGTTCAATAGTAAAGATGAATGGAGTAAATACCATGATCAAGCTGCGTTGGAATCTAAACTAATCCAAATCAACGCGAAATGCCCCGAATTCACTCGTACCTATTCGATCGGTGAAAGCGTTCAGGGTCGCGCACTGGTTGTCATCGAGTTCTCGACCACACCACAACATCATCGACTTTGTAAGTTGCCTCATTATTCTTTGTTTATGAACGAGTTTTATTCATTTATTAATTCGACTTTCTTAGCTACAACCGTCGTTCATTCGTTGATCAGTTTACATAATTCACAATCGTTCGTTGCTTCAAACAAATGGAATGAAAGACAAAAATTATTATTGATTTTCGTGACGTCAAGCCCGACTCAAACCTCATATAATAGTACTAATCGGAAAAGATGTCACCATTGACAGCACAAGCACATAAACAGTAATAATAATAGGATTTAGAAATAATAGAAATAAACGATACAAATATTATAACAATATCGATATCATGAACGAAAATATAATTCATTAACTAAATAATCAATTATGCTCCACATCAAAACATTCAACCAACGTAAACAAATGAATATGTCTATGAATTTATTACATAATATAACAATCGATATGAGCAAATATTTACGCTAATGATACGTTTAGTTTGTTTGCTGCTCATCTGATGTTTATTAATCGAAAAATGTTATCACTTTTACGATCTATATTCATTCAAACAATAACTGAAATCGGCTATTATAACTAAAATCGTCAACGCCAACATGTGAATAAAACGCCAACACAGTGCACTTATCACACTAGAAGCAAGAAGGTGAACATGCTACCGCGAAAGCGATGAGGTTGGAGATCTGGGACCTGCCACTGATTTCGCGGGGAGTACAGGGGGATCCCTCTCCAGTTCCTAACCCTTGTACCGGTGTTGAACAATAGCGCGCTATTCTGCTATTAGCGGAATATCGATAGCGGAAGTTCGAGTGGATAGCGGAATAGCGATAACAGTGCTATCGTCTTCGATAGCGGACTACTTCTGCTATGTTCTGCTATCAGTTCATCTGTAAGTGAATGCACAGTCCCTCAATCATTGAAGTATCTATAGTAAATACAGATTTGTGCTGCAACACTGCACTAAATTCTAATCTATCATTCAGTGGCGTAATGAGGTTTTTACAGTAGGCATTAGCGATAGTGATAGCGGAATAGCGATAGTAATAGCGCTATTCCGCTATCAATTCCAGGGATAATAGCGATAGTGTGCTATCGTTTTTTGATAGTGTGCCCGACACTGCTATTTACTGTAGCTCACATAACCAAGAACGCAGAATACTTGACCCGCATACACATATGTAAAATTGTTATATACATTTCAACGATGTGAAATTTCGCATGAACTGAAAACACCTTTTTGAAATTCTGACAACAGCAACGTTCCCAAAAGAAAAATCATTGGTTTAACGATAAGATCTGGGTGTATGAATGAGCCAGAGTTGGAGAAGTCAATTTTACGTAATCAATAACAACAACAGATGGTTAAAATAATTGGAATGAGCACTTGATTCGAAAACGATACACAGTCAGATTTATTCAAATTGAGATGAGCAATGTTTGCAGTGAAACCTGAAGTGAAATATGTGGGCAATATGCACGGAAATGAGCCGATTGGTCGCGAGCTTCTAATTCGTTTAGCTGATTATTTGTGTGATGGACTGAAGAAGAACGATAAAGAGATATGGAAATTAATCAATTCAACATCTATTCATATATTACCCTCAATGAATCCAGATGGTTTCGAGCATGCTTTATCAACTGTATGTGAAATGATATTATTGGGTACAAACAGTCCTTGTAGATGTATGAATGAATGAAGCATTGCGTAAACCTCATTTGGTTGTAACCCTGCGCTCGGTTTTATTTTAGCCTCATCCACTCAAATCAGCCTCGAATTTACACCCAAGCTTACTCTTTATCTCTTGAGGGGAGGAAGGAGGGGGGGGGGGGGGGGAGGCTTAGGCTTAGGTTTTGTTTCACAAAGGCCTAAATCATTTGTGATGTCACAACCGCACACAGTTCATAGGTCGCTCTAGAATGAATATTTGTTCAATTTTTGTCCTTGACAACAATATTCACTTTATGAAATAAACTCTTTTCGGGCATTTCAAATAGCGTATCGCTGATTATCTTAAGTGATATTGATGTGTGTGCATTCAGTTCGTTTTTTACTACGGCAATATCCCTGACTTTATTCGAATGAAATTTGATGAATAATTTTGGTCGACTTTTTTCAGGATCCACAGAATCGCGGCTGGGTTGTTGGTCGTACAAACGCAAATAATGTTGACCTGAACCGTGATTTTCCGGATCTGGATAGCCTTTACTATGACTTCGAGGCGAATAAAATACCGCGATATGACCACTTATTAGAGTTGTTCGACGATGATAAACAAGTAAAACTCCCAATCGTTCGTAATTATAAGCATTCCTGCGTAACATGAAGAAGCCAGCAAATGCGCTCGTAATGCACAAATCGCAGTGGTCTGCGATGAAACGATGCATAAGCAATTAGACTTTTGAGGCATTTTTTGGATAACTGAACATAAATTGTACTGACAAAATGCTGATATGAATTGCAATATCACCATAATGGAAATTAATTACTGAAGTGCAATATGTATGAGGATAATAATAACAACAACAATGACAGTAATATAATAATAATACAATATAATGATAATATAATAATAATAATAATAATAATAATAATAATAATAATAAT